ATACCAAAACCAGGTAAAGATATAACCAAAAAAGAAAACTACAGGCCGATAGCCTTGATGACTACGGATGCAAAAATCCTCTTTGACATACTGATTTCATTTCCTTTGGATATATACCCAGAAGAGAGATTGTTGGATAAAATGATAATTCTATTTTTAGTTTTTTGTGGAATCTCTATATTGTTTTCTGTAATAGCTGTACTAATTTACACTTCCACCAATAGTATATAAAATCCCCTTTCTCCACATCTTCTCCAGCCTTTGTTATTTTTTGTCCTTTTGATAATAGCCATTCTAACAGGTGAGAGCTGATAGTTCAGTGTGGTTTTGATTTGCGTTTCCCTGATGATGAGTGATGTTGAGCATTTTTTCATATAACTGTTGACCATTTTTATGTCTTCTTTTAAAAAATGTCTATTAGGTCTTCTGTCTATTTTTAAGTAGGATTATTTCTTCTTTTGCTATTGAGTTGTTTGAATTATTTATGTATTTTGGATATTACCCCTTGGTCAGATGCATAGTTTTCAAATATTTTCTCCCATTCTGTAGGTTGTGTCTTCACTCTGCTGATTGCTTCCTTTGCTGTGCAGAAGCTTTTTAGTTTGATGTAATCCCATTTGTCCATTTTTGCTTATGTTGCCTGTGCTTTTGAGGTCTTATCCCAAAAATTCTTGCTCCGACCAATGTCATGAAGCTTTTCTCCTATGTTTTCTTCTGGTACTTTCATATCTTGTGTCTTACATTTAGGTCTTTAATCCATTTTGAGTTGATTTTTGTATATGGTGAGAGACAGAGGTATAATTTCATTCTTCTGCATGTGGATATCCAGTTTCCATAGCATCATTTATTGAAGATACTGTCTTCTTCCCAACATATTCATGGTGCCTTGGTCAAAAATCAGTTGGCTGTAAATTCATGGATTTGTTTCTGGGTTTTCTATTTTGTTCCATTGGCCTACATGTCTGTTTTTATGACAGTACCATGCTGTTTTAGTTATTATAGCTTTGTAGTATATTTTGAAGTCAGATAGTGTGATGCCTCTAGCTTTGTTTTTTTGTTCAGGATTGTTTTGGCTATTCATGGTCTTTTGTGGTTCTGCATGAATTTTAGAATTGCTTTTTATATTTTTGTGAAGAATGTCATTGGTGTTTTGATAGGGATTACCTTGACTCTGTACATTGCTTTGGGTAGTATGGACATTTTAACAATATTAATTCTTCTAATCCACCAACATGGAATATCTTTCCATTTATTTATGTCCTCTTCAATTTCTTTCATCAAGTTTTCCTCATAAAGAACTTTACCCTCCTTGGTTAAATTTATTCCTAGGGGTTTTTTTGTTTTTGTTTTTTTGGTAAAGGGGATTATTTTCTTGATTTATTTTTCAGATAGTTTGCTTTTAGTATATAGTAACACTAGTGATTTTTATATATTGATTTTGTATCCACAAACTTTACTAAATTTCTTTGTTAGTTTTAATAGTTTTTTGGTGGAGTGTTTAGGATTTTCTAAATATCAGATCATGTCATCTGCAAACAGGGACAATTTGACTTTCACCTTTCCAAGCTGGATGCCCTTTATTTCATTTTCTTGCCTAACTGCTGTGGCTTGGACTTCTAGAACTATGGTGAATCGAAATTGTGGCAGTGAGCATTCTTGTATCATTTAAAATCTTAGAGGAAAAGCTTTCACCTTTTCCTGTTCAGTATGATGTTAGCTGCATGTTTGTCCTATATGGCCTTTATTGTGTTGATATGTTCCTTTTGTATCTAATATGCTGAGAATTTTTATCATGAAGGAATGTTGAATTTTATCAAATGCTTTTTCTACATTTATTGAAATGATCATATGGTTTTTGTCCTTGATTCTGTGAATGCGCTGTATCATGTTTATTAATGTGCATATGTTGAACCATCCTTGCATCCCTACCCCAAGGTTTTTGATCTGAACAACTGGGTAAGTAATGTTATCAGTTACTGCAG